TGAAGGAAGTGACAAGTGGTGTGATTCTGAATATAGTCTGAAGGAGGTGCTGGCTGGCTTCGCCAATGGCTGAAGCGCAGGACCAGGCGCAAGCTGAAAGCACTAAAGTTTGGGCTTGTGCTGTGTGGACATGTCAAGGGTGTGATGACCCCTCTCCGTGCACATTCCTTCTGTGCAGGGGCCCCACAGTGGCTGTGACGTCCCTTTTCCTCCTTAGGCTCAAGGATGAAGAGATGCGTCTTTGCCTGCACCTGACTCTCACCTGCTGCTGCTTTCTCTTTTGTGCCATCAATTAATGAATGTTGTTTTTGCTTTGATTTCACACTGGACCTATTTAATTTAGAGGCATTTTACATCATTTATCTTTAAATCAAAATAAATGCATATGATAATAAACAAGGATGTAGTTTTATGAAATATTTATCTGGGTTTTATCTCAGAATATTGGATTTGCTCACCATTTTGTCCTCTGTGCTGAACATGGTCGGGGCACTTAAAGTTTTGTTGAATGACTAGATTGTATATATCATGAATGCAAATCTAAATTTCCTCTTAATTAAGGCAATGTATAAAGTGTGTATATAAAGCAATGCATAATAACCATTCAGAGTTGTTTTCAAGTATAGCAAATTTAAGGCAATTTTTTCCTAATCTCTAAAAAAATATTGAAGTCATATCAGTTGACAGATATTTTGCTGATTTGCATATAGCAGTGCTTTAATGGTTGTTGCCCTCAGAGTTGTTTTCAAGTATAGCAAATTTAAGGCAATTTTTTCCTAATCTCTAAAAAAATATTGATGTCATATCAGTTGACAGATATTTTGCTGATTTGCATATAGCAGTGCTTTAATGGTTGTTGCCTTTCATTCATCTCTTCGTTCATCTCTTCATTCTTGAAGAACCAGTGTGTAGACGTGAAAAGCCTATTGAGCTGACAGGAAATGAAGCCATTCAAGCTTAATGATGTTGCAATGAGACAAAGCACTATAGTGCTTTAAGCTGTAACATCATAATCCAATCCAAGTACAGCAAAGCTAATTAAAATGTGTTTCCACAGGCATTTGTAGAATTCGTAGTGAATCACGATAGCTTTTTGTTTTCTTTGAGTTTAGGTTCTGAATGTGACACCTGATGATGGCTTTGCTAAAGTACATTACGGCTTCATCCTGAAAGCACAGAACAGGATTGCTGAGAGCATTCCATATTTAAAGGTAACTCTCACTGCTCTTCTCCCTTTTCATCTTCCAATTCCTTTGAGTCATTGGACATCCTTAGTTATGCATTGGAGATTGATTGGCAGGCATTGCTGAGTCTTTTCACCAGCAGAATGTGCATTCTTTGGCTATAACATTCATAGACAGTGTGAACCTCCACCGTAATTGACAGTGTCGGACATAGAAATACCAATCACATGAGCAGAGACTACTCAGAAAAGATTTTGTGAAAAAATTTCTAAAACTGAAGTTATTATTAATTTTTAAATAAATTTAAATAAAACATTATTGATACAGTATTTTAAAATATGGACAATGCATTAAATGTTCCTTTTACAAGTGAATTACTGTGCATGAACAGGGCTCATGTCTGCCTACACAAGGTGAGGTAGCAAATGCAACTGAATAGATCAGCCCCCGAAAAGCCTATCTGATAGCTCAAACTATTTAGATTAAAATATGCTGCTATTTTTTTCTAACACGTCTAACTGAATCCTTGTCAATTCACCAGAATCGTATTCAGTCTGGCTCAGGGCTGTCCAGTAGAACTTCTGCTTTGATGGAAATATTCTTTATCTATATTTTCCAGTATGGCAGCTGCTAGCCACATGTGGCCATTGATCACTTGAATTGTGGCTAGTGTGACTGAGGAAGTAAATTTTAATTTTATTTAATTTTAATTTATATAGTAATATGTGGCTAGTGGCTACCATATTGGACTAGCTGTGAACTTTTTTTATAAGTAGGAGTATATTTTCACTTTTACAATCTCTTTCATTCACATGACTTAAATCAGAGATCTCAAATAGCAACCCACTGATTGCAAATAGCTTTCATGTCTTATTTTGCCAGCACAGTTCTATTAAAAACAATTTTAATCGCTTTCCATATTTGAGAATCTGAACATTTTATGTAACCATGCAGATTTCTAGTGTCTCCTCAAAGGTCGTATCTGGCCCACTTCCCTGCACATGGTGCTAAGGAATGGTGCCGCCTTGAAGTGGGCATGTACCCCTAGTCTGTCCTGGCTGGCACTGGGCCCCTGCAAACCTTTCCATTCCTCACTAGGGCTCTGTGGGTGTGGGCGTTTCTCTGATTTAAAGTGTTCCCCTTACATTTCCTCTGGCATAGGAGGCCCTGATAGATTCTCCCTCCTTTAGAGATGAGCAAAGCAAGGGCTGGGTTGTTTAGTTAACAAGCAAGGACATTTGTGGTCAGTCAGTCGGGAGCCCTGGGCACAGCCTTTCACTTGTCCTGCATGCTGCTTCTCCTGTTCTGTCATGCTTCTTGCCATTTTTCAGCACTATGCAAATAAAATTTCTTCCTACTAAAAGATAATGGCTTCTTGTGAAGAGGCTTCAAAGATGCAGATTTTAGAAAGAAATCCTTGACATTTAAATTTTTTAATTTTTGGCCTTCTTTTGCTTTTCTAAATTCATTTTCTTCCTTTTATATTTTCTCTTTTCTTTCCTTTTTTTTTGGGAAGGGATATAAATATAAACCTCAATTTCAGTATTTGGTGGGAGATGGGGGGAAATCAGCTAAATGTTGTAAAATAAAAATTGTTTAGTAAAAATCACAGTTTTCAAGATTCTAATGTCTTTAATCCTTCTGTATATTTTGTAAGAGAATTCATTAAAAGGTAAGGACACATTTGTTTTGAGTGGAAAGAAATGTCACTTGCAGTTGGGCTGCCATCACTTCAAACATGAGCAATCAAACATTTTGGTTCAGGAATAAAAAGCCTCCAAATGACATATGGTTAGAGTTGGAGAGCAAAATAAATGTGAGAGATACCCAGCCAGAGAAATTCTTTAGAATATTGAAATATGATTGCTTCTAAACTGAAGATACACAATGTATCATACTAATTTTACGGGCTATTCCACTATTAGTTAGTGATCAGTTAAATTTAATTTCATTGTACATGTTGACCAGTAACCTCATTGCCAAATTTTAATATTGAAATACATTTTTCTGGTTAGAAAAGCTACATAAAACTATGAATGAAATCTGGTACTTAATTCTGTCACAAATACTAACAGTGTCTTTTCTACAGGAAGGAATAGAATCTGGAGATCCTGGCACTGATGATGGGAGATTTTACAACCTCATTGCCAAATTTTAATATTGAAATACATTTTTCTGGTTAGAAAAGCTACATAAAACTATGAATGAAATCTGGTACTTAATTCTGTACTTAATTGTGTCTTTTCTACAGGAAGGAATAGAATCTGGAGATCCTGGCACTGATGATGGGAGATTTTATTTCCACCTGGGGGATGCCATGCAGAGAGTTGGAAACAAAGAGGTAATGTGTCTTGTTCTCTCTAACAGAGGGTAGAGTAGGGAGAAAGATTATTTCTAGGAAAAAGTTACAATTGCAAAAATGTTCAGAGCTTAAACTTTTGAAAGCAATGATTTAAATTATTTAGCTATTAAAACTGTTTGAAACAACCCAACAACTCTAGCTTAATCCTATAAAAGATTTTTGAGATTTGGATTTTATAGATTCTTTCAAGAAATCAGCTAAGTAATCACAAAAGCAGCCTGTAAATTGGTGTGTGTCTGTGTACATGTGTGTGTCTCTGTTTGTCTATACCTGTGTGTCTGTGTGTGTATAGAGAGATGGGTGTTGCCTTGGAGAATTATTTTTTAAATTATGAAATGGAGAGGTATCTCTGAAATTGTTTAAATTTTTAAAAATATTTTATGAAGAATGTAATTGGTATTTTGACAGGGATCACACTGAATCTGTAGATGGTTTTGGGTAGTATGGACATTTTCACTATAGTGATTCTTCTAATCCATGAACAAGGAATGTCTTTCCATCTGTTGGTGTCCTCTTTAATTTCTTTCAGCAGTGACTTGTAGTTCTCATTGTAGAGATCTTTCACCTACTCTGTTAAATTTATTCCTAGGTATTTTATTTGTTTGTTTGTTTGTTTGTTTGTTTGTTTGTTTGTTTTGGTGACTATTGTAAACAGCCTTGCTTTCTCGATTTCTTTTTCTGCTAGTTTGTTGTTGGAGTATAAAAATGCTACTGATTTTTGTATATTGATATTGTATCCTGAAAATTTACTGAGTCATTTATCAGCTCTAAGAGCTTTTTGGTAGAGTCTCTCAAATTTTCTGTATATAGAACCATGTCATCTGCAAACAGGGATAGTTTGACTTCATCTTTTCCTGTTTGGATGCCCTTTATTTCTTTCTTTTGTCTAATTGCTCTGGCAAGTATTTCCAGGACCTGTTAAATAGGAGTGGTGAGAGTGGACATCCTTGTCTTTTTTTACATTTTTGCAATTGTAACTTTTTCCTGTTCTTAAAGGAAAAGCTTTCGGCTCTTCCCCATTCAGGATGATATTGGCGGTATGTGTGTCGTATATGGCTTTTATTGTGTTGAGATACCGTTCTTCTATAACCACTGTTTGCCTAGATTCATTTTTGTTTTATTTTGGAATTTTAAAAGTAGTTATTTTTAGAATGAAGTCTTTATTCAACTGATTCCCAAGCACACTGATTCTAATGGTTGATTGTATAACTTACCTTCTGAAATATTTAATGTCAAGTTTAAGATCAACACTTGTAGCTATGGTAATCACAGGTACTGACACAAAGATGTAGTAGCTAAAATAAGTTACATGTTTTCTTTGTGATTTATGACTTTTCCTGAGTACAATGTCGCTTCTATAAGCATAACGTTGGATCACTATCATGACATCACATTTTGTAAATTTTAAAACTCTTTTGCGGGCTGACCCCATGGTGCACTCGGGAGAATGTGGCGCTGGGAGCGCAGCGGCACTCCCGCCACGGGTTCGGATCCTATATAGGGATGGCCAGTGCGCTCACTGGCTGAGCAAGGTGCGGGGGACACCAAGCCAAGGGTTGTGATCCCCTTACCGGTCACAAAAAGGACACACACACAAAAAAACTCTTTTGCGATACACCCAGATTTACAAAGCGCTGCTGGAAGGTGAAGCCCACCTGTCCTGTACCCTGGGGGGTCAAGGCTGGGCTGTTCTTAGAGTCAGTGGATGAAAGGGTAAAGTGAGGCACTAATACTTTGTAACCTTTGCATTCTGTGTATGTAATAAAGTAATATACAAGGATAACACACCTTCAGGTTTCTAAAAGTAATAAGAGCATGGGACCATGTGCACAGCTGAGGGTTCAGAGAAGGGGATAATTGACAGGATAATTGCCTGCTAAAGACACGAACCGATTTGGGGTAATAAATGTTTAGATAACTGACACTGTTTTCTTTGCACATTTTTCCTTATTCATACCTTTTCCCCTTTAACCTACCAGTCAGTCAACTGACATAGAATGAGACATTAGAAGTAAAGAGAAAGAAGGGAGAAGAAATTGCTGATTAGTAATCATTTTTGTGTTCCTTCATTCTTTTATATGTAAATGGCTGGGACTCCTTTGACTGGTAGGGATAAGAAAGATTTTGCTACAGTATCTAACACTGGATAAATGTTCATGTTTGACTACTATAAATATAACTGTCGCTAATTAATTTACCTTTGAACACTTCAGAGTCAGGGCAAAGACAGATAAAAGAAGTGTGTGATTTATGTCACATCTTAGATGAAAACAGCCTTTACTTCAAGGGCAAAGAATTCACTAAACACTTGCTAAGGGCTTGGGATTTGAACCTATGGGACTGTTCTACCAGTTTAATTATCATTAATATGCAATGAACAGCACAGTTCCTGAATTTAAAAAGTTCACAAGGCTTCATCCTTATAGGAGAACAGAAACAAGCCTGTAGAAACCCCATTTCAGTACATTCCCGATAGTAGATGTTGAATCTGAATTGGTTGTCTTGCTCTGAGTTTGCAAATCAGGAAGCAGCCACCTTTTTGTGTTTTTACACATGGAGCTCTGCTCCAGCCCCAAAAGAGGATGGCTGCATGAAAAGCAAACCCACGGCCTCTGTGCTTCAGAGGCTGACAAGAAAATGGGTTTTGAGGAAAATTTCTCTAATAGGTTCATTTAGTAGGGACAGGAAGAGGGAGAAAGACAAACCATGATAGTCTTTCAGCAATTCAGCTTCAGCTGTTCTTAACATTTCCATAACTTCTGAATCCACATTCTAGCTGGAATGGTCTCCTCCAAGTCCACATTCCTATGTCTGTTGCCTGCTCAGTGTCACCCTATGGATGTCACAGAAACAACTCACTTGTCTTCCTCCAACAGTTTCTCATCAGGGCCAGTTCTGGGGATTCGGTGTACTCTGGTCCATGGCATCCACCTCATTTACCGACGTGGCCTGGGGTTTTCAGAGCTGGAGTCTTTAGATGTACTGTTTCTGTATATATGGGGGTGGGGATATGTGTGTGAAAACTTTATATAGCAATAATTTGAAGAAAGTACAACATTTGATATAAACCATATTTAAGAATATGTTTTGTTCGTAAAAACCTAGTGGCCTAGCTGATCTTACTATTTTAGGATTCCTATGTCTGTTGCCTGCTTAGTGTCACCCTATGGATGTCACAGAAACAACTCACTTGTCTTCCTCCAACAGTTTTTCATCAGGGCCAGTTCTGGGGATTCGGTGTACTCTGGTCCATGGCATCCACCTCATCCACAGATGTGGCCTGGGATTTTCAGAGCTGGAGTCTTTAGATGTACTGTTTCTGTGTATATGGGTGTGGGGATATGTGTGTGAAAACCTTATATAGCAATAATTTGAAGAAAGTACAACATTTGATATAAAACATATTTAAGAATATGTTTTGTTCGTAAAAACCTAGTGGCCTAGCTGATCTTACTATTTTAGTACTCCTGATTAGATGTATAAAATTCCTGATTAGACAGGAAATAGTAAGGAGGAACATTTCAGAGGATTCTACCTTGATCATTGATTTTCTAGCAATTTTTATTGTAAGATAACTTAGATGTAAAAAAAAAAAAAAGCAGTCTAGCTGAACTCATTGGGTCTTCTATATAATACATCATTGAAGGTGATTGTTGTAAATTTCTGGTTTATCATTTTCCTGATTTTGTTTCTCCAAAAAGTTAAATGGCAGGAGAGTGCAAAATTAAGGGTCCTGTTTGAAGCAGTAGTACTTTCCCTGAGTGTCAGAAAAGACCTTATAGACAGTTTCAACACGCCGAGCTAAGCAAAGTGCCTTGCACAGGCACCAGCATGGTAGGTGTTAAGGACCAGAACTCAAGTCTGTGATGTCTCACTCCTGAACTGAAGCTACAATGTTTGCTGTTTTGGTTTTCCTGTGACAATTTTTTTTTCTTCTAACAATATGCCTAGTCCTTTATATGAATTGCTGATGACTCAAAAATTAATGGACTGTCAGATTTTCAAAAAAGTCATCCATTGTAGTAAATATTATGTTGTTCACTTTAACACCAAAAGATATAGGAAATAAAATCCTAAATTCAAATTGGACAAAAATAACCACAATAGTCAAATTAATTTCAAATGTACATGCAATTATTTTAAATCAGAAAACAAATAGCCGTTTTAATGTTCTGATTTTTAAAGAAATTCTAACTGCAACTTACATGCACGAGGGTACTTCAAAAAATTCATAGATTCGTATTGTCTTTTAATTCTGTTTTTCCACAAACTTATTTGGAGTACTCTCATATTTCAAGGAAAATATATAAGAATGGTTAGTATATGCATTCTTAATTTGAGATATTAATGAGAAATATAACTAAATAAGAAAATTACTTTTGATAGTTTTTTAAATTGATCCAAAGATAGGAGAGTAGAACAAATTACAGGACCCCTCAATTCTAGTTTATGATATGTAGTCTTTATAAACCCCAGTTTCAACATTTTTAAAATAGAGATATTTGGGGTTATTGGAAAGATCAAATGAGATTACACATGTAAAAGCAAGTAGTAAATTGTAAATGTTATTGAAAATATGAGGTGGTATTACTATCACCCTTCATTTTTCTAATGAAGGAAAATTTGAAATGTGAATTTTAAGAAAATTTTAAAAGTTAATATTTTTTATACCTAAAGAATATCTGGGGTTTTATGAAAAAGATATTCAAGTTGATAGCAAATGCTTATTTTTATTGATAAAATATATAGTTGAAATTACCCTTCAAAAGTAATCATTAGAGCAGTCTTGTAATAATGAAGGGAATAATATTAGCGAACCACTAGAAACGTCCTCCCTTACAAAGACAATGGAGCCTGTACGGTGCAGGAAGCATATGGGAAAGGCCACTTGGAGAACATATGGTTAGGGTGTCATTTGAAGGAGCCATATGGAGCAGCATACTCTGTAGCCAGCTGTCCCTGAAAAGGCTAGTCCTCTT